AGCACACAACGCTTTACTAAGGAATCTCAACCGAATATCATCAAATAGGTGGCTTATAATCAAGATATTTGCCATTTTGGTATTTTTCCTGATTGTCTTCATCTTCTTTGTGGCATAAAGTTTGGTATTGAAAACCCAGCAGTAGAATTCTTGCTGCATGGTGTATTCAGGCTTCTTCCGCCCCAAAGCTGATCATTGAAAGCAGAAAAGGGTACTTTGTTCTGTATATTTAATGGGCATGCCCAATTGACAATTCTCAAGTTTTAGCTTGTACAATTAGTAGCATTCTTTATAGCATACATATGTTTGCCTGCGTGATAAAGTGATATGAAGCTCCGGTTGTTGTCTTCTTTGCTCTGCTTTCCCTACAATTGGCCCAGATACACGCGCATATACATGCAAAAGTGATTTGAACTTTGTGAGTGTGAATAAACTAAGAAGATCAGAAAGAAGAAAAATGGACCAAAATTAAGAACGGGTTAAATCTTAACTTTGGCCCACCAACCTAACCCTTGACATGCGACTATGATTGATGAACTCGCTGTACTGATAGCCCTTCATACCAAAACCTTGAAAATTTGGTGTTTGGATGTGCAACTTTAACTGCCCCGTAGTCAAAAGGGTTCAAAGCTAGGTACTAGCTGCACTGCGAAGCGATGACCTTCAACAATGGTCTGGATTTCGTCCAAGTCATGTCCTTCCCACCTGGCAAACTCACGGGTTCACGCGATTTGAATCCTAACCTGTTAACTGTTAGAATTGAAGGTGAGGGGTCCTTTTAACAATTTACGAATGATTTTAATCACTTAAACTACAAATCACTTGTCGAATTCTATTATAGTAAAGTATGTCTTGATGGGCGGTTACATTTCGAAAGGTTTAATGCATCTATCTGTCTCTTTTTAATTGAATTTTGTTCTAATGAAATGATTCTTCCTCTTTTTTTCAATACTATATTACAAGAACTTCTCTTTTAAGATTTTTTTTTTAAAAATCTTTTTTTATTGAGATGGGTGATAAAATACTAAATTCATACACATTTAGGATTTGAACTTAGAACCTTCTTCAATGGTAGCAATTGCTTCAAACCACTATATTATACTAGTGTGTCCTTTACTTCTCTTTGAGACTTTGATTGCGTTTTTCGCTGAAGTAAGAAAAGTAACGGACAGCCTAACAAATGAAGAGAAAGAAAACTAGAAAAAGGACAAAGGTAAGTGAGTTGTTGCTGCGCATTTTCTGCGAGCGTTAGATGCAAAACCAACGGAGCCATTAATGGCAGACACAAGTCCAACATTCAAGTCGTCAAGTCTGCAAGGCCATGATATATTGAGATTTGGTAGGTGGTGGAAGGTGCCCATTGAAAAGACTCATGCAAAAACTAACACTGAACAGTGGAATTTGACACTCGTAGACCTAATTGCCTAGTTGCCTACTACAGTAGTAGGCTCATTCATGGCAGACATGTAGAGATAAACCCTACACATTATACATGATATGGTAGTGTCAAGTGTGGTGCAAGAGAAAAAAAAGATATTCAGAGCTGAAAATATCGATTTTGCTTGTAGTGCAGAGGACATGATGGTCTTATTGACTATGATTTGAAGTTTTTGGAATCATTTTGATGTCTTTGTCTGCTTTGATTTCCCCAACCTAGTTTGATGTAAATCTTTCCTTGATTTTGTTGCATAACTGAGATGGGATTGTTCAGTTTCGTATGGAACTTTTATGTAGGTATTAAAGTATATGCTTCCAAAGGCTCACTAATCATCTTTTTTTGGTCGGTAAACGAAATAATCAAGTATAAAATAAGCATAATCAAAGTTTACGCAGAGCAGAAGATCAGTGTGTATGTAAGTGTGTATGATTATCATCATGATCTAACAAAAACAGTGTAATTAAGTATAATAATGTTCCATCATCACTAATTATTTGCACAAATTGTCGGCCTAATAATTAATATTTATTCATCCAAATTAACCAGAAAATTAGAACAAAGATTACTAGATTTTCACGCTGCTTCCAATCAATGATAGTTTGGGATTGTTTCTCTAGCAAGTACTTATGTTTATAAGCACTTTTATTATAAATACGTTGAAATTTTCATAAGAAATCAAAATACTTCATGAAAAAGCACTTGGGAGTTAGAAAGTGCTTCTATGACCCATAAGCACTTCTAAGTTTTTCTGTCAAATATTGTTAGAAGTGCTTTTAACCCTTCTAAAAGCACTCCCAAACATATTACATGAAGGAGATGAGCCAAATCTTTTCTTATAACGTCTATGTCTTTTCCCTCGAGGAATTGTTATTATTATTGCAGACATTTTCCATAGAATAGCACTCATAATGTGTGAGTAGCAGCTTAAAGAGAATGAAATATTAAACATCTAGCATTATTCCAAACCAATGATTGATTTTGTATTAAAATGCTGTGTATTGCACTCTTAAATAAAACCAAAGGATTTGTGGCGTGGCACTCTAAAATGTGTTTAGAAATGATGAAAGTTTTAGTCAGCATTAATAGTTTTTGGTCCTACATGAATAATTAATTATTAATTCCCATTGTTGTAATTGTACTAAAAAGGTTGGCGTGACATATATACATGTAAAATGTAATAGATCTTGTCCAATTTTTGTTTTTTTTTAAAGATCCCTTTTTTTGGGTTTAAAAATTATGTCCTAGGATGCTTTATAACTATAAGACAGATTCTGAAGGGAAAAAGAAGTGACGGAAAATATCAAGAATAATAAGATATAAAGAGCAAAGCTTGGAGCTTAAATATTTTTCTATTCAGAAATAAATCCTAATAGAAGCTTTTGCTGATATGGAAAAAAGCCAAATAAATCCAATCTCTTCCTTTTCAGTCTTATTTCAGGTAATATTCTTTTATTGTGGGGTAACCCCATAAATTCCTCCTGATCATTATGGTATGGTTGGACCCTTTCTCTTACGTATGAGTTTGGCAAATAACATCCACTTCATCCCCCAAATTGTCATGCTGATATGATTAGAGATGTAGTGGTGGGTGCAATTTGCAAAGATTGTATAAGTGCATGACCTACATTTTTATTTTGAATTATACGAAAAGATAATAAAAAGATTTCTTTTTGCGTTAGTTTTTTTATTGTTTTATAACGGGTCAACGCATTCACAACAAAGCTTTATCATTATAAGAGAACGACTCGCGTTCTCTAACCAAATCGAGACAACTGTTACTAAACAAAAGGGTAAGTTGAATCTAGATATTTGTCATGGATTTGAGATAAAATGGTTTCTTTTTTAATTCACCATCTTGTTGTTATATATTCAGTGCAAGATTCGTGGAATAATACTGTATATATTCTCTATGGGTGGATGCTAGTCAACCAAATAATGAGTGAAATACCCACTGAGCTGAGTGTGAGTATATATTAAGTCCTAGCTGGCATTGTTTTGAAAATTGTCTTTACTGTTCCAGATGTGTACTAAACTCTCCTTTTTAATCATTAACTTAAATCTCCCCCTAATCCCAAAATTAATACTTTTTTTCTTTCCTTTTTCTCAAACTGTTGGGCACGCGTGATGTGTAATATATATGCTTTAGTATTCGCAAAGCTAAACAAGGTAGGGTTACTTTGATAACAACAACTAACAAGAGCTGGATTAACTTGTAGATGATTCTCTTTTTAGTCTTGAAGATGGCAAAGATATGTGAGTTTGGTCATGCAATTGATTTGATAGGCACTATTGGATTAGGGTAGGATAATGTTGCTAACAAAATAAATTAATGAGCCATGCAAGTAAATTAACATGAATTATGAGTCAGATCAGTCAGATGAGAAAAGGGAGACAGGGAGCATATTATGGAAAAGCTAAGTAAAGATGAGGAACCAAGTGAGGAGGAGGCCCCTCCACCCACTAAGCATGCTTATTATTTAATCTCATGATAAGGAAGGGAGAAGAAAAAAAAAGAAGATGAAAAAAAGACTTTAATGAATTGTGATATTGATAGAGGAAGATGAAAGTCTCTAATAAAAGGTTGGATTCGGCCAACTTTTTGACTGCATGTTAAAAGAGTAGTTCACCAAATTCTCAAAGAACGAGACTTTCTCGACAAAATATTTCAATCATCAAAATCAAATCTCTTCAAACCAATTTCAAACAAGAAAATTATGGATACCAATCTGCAAAAGTTTATTGAAGTTTGTTATTAGGGTACGTTATATACAGTGAATGATATGCTGAGATGGACGATTGCGTACTAAATAATATTAGGTGTAATTTAATGGAATTAAGTAGAATTTTCACTCTTGAGCAAGTGACTAGCAGAGGGCCCCTTAGAGCTTTCTTAAGAGATTAAGCAAACCCTAAAATGATTGTAATCACCTTGCATTTGAATTTAATTAGAGACTTATTACCAGCACATTTGTTGGTTCATGGTATAAATATTTTGCTTGCACCATGTGAACCCTAAAAATGAATCTCAGTGAGTACGCTGATTAAAGCTAAGATTTATGCAACAGTTAATAGAAACGCAAAGAGACTAAGACATCGAGAGAATAGTATAAATTTGGTGTTTTGGTAATTAAATTGTCTTCTCTATTTCTTAATAAGAGGAATGCTAGCTATCTTCTCTCTTACTTTTTCCTTATTGTTTTTTCCATTCACTTTATGCCACGTGTATTCTACTCACACATAAATCTATGTATTGCAAAGAGAATAAAGAGATTTTGAAAAAATTGAGTACATAAATTTGTGTGTGAGCGAAATTCATGTGGCATAAATAAGCGGAATGTTACATAGATTTGTGTCTGAGATTTGTTTCTTAAATTAGAGGAATGCTAACTACTTTTCTTCTTGCCTTTCCTTTCTTACTTTCTCAATTCACTTAATGTGTATCCATTGAATACACTAAATACATTGAGTTGTATGCAGTAAAATACACGTGGTATAAAGTGAATGAGAAAAATAATAGAGGAAAAATAAGTGGGGTTGGTAGCTAGTATTGCTCCTTAAATAACATTAAGCAGTGCACTTTTCTGCCACTCTTCTCTTAGCCTCAGTTGCTCCTTTTTGTCAGATCTCTCTCAAAGCCCAGAAATCAATCCCCAAGAAACAACAGCAACTCAAAGTTTTCTTGTTCTTTTCTTTAAAAGAGGCAGACACCCCCTTTACTTGTTGTGCTTCTTTTGACTCTGCCACACAGATTGTGCCCATTGACAGAGGAGAGGGCATTTACCTATCGAATTTGGCTGCGTCTTAGTTAAGTCTTCCTCAAGTTTCAGTATTTAAGGCACTGCCAAAGTGACAATCTTTGTGAAACGGCCAACACAAGTGGCAGTGGCACTGCTTTTGCATGCTTCTCTGGTTTCTTTCATTGAAAGGGAAAACGAGATAAAGCACTCTCTCTCCCGACTGAGGAGTTGAAGAAAGTAAACGATTTGCGAAGAGCTCGACATTTGTCCAATTTCCATAAAAAGCTTCTCAGCCTTTCCTCCTGCTTCCTCGTTATAAATCTCAAACAAACTCTCTTTTCCCAACAAGGTAACTGAAACCTCTCAGACTTGGGTACCTTTCTCTCTACTTGGTTACAGGAAAATGGCTTTTCTTTTTGGTTGCTTTTCCTTTATTTCTTTTCACAAATTTTCATCCACATAAATTTTTATTTTGTTTTGAGTTGAGCCCTCTGTTTTGGCCTTTTTTGGTTTAACTTGTTGGAGTGATTAATCTGTCTGCTACATGTTGCAGATCTATTTCACCTGTCAACAATGCAACCTCAGAAACAAGCAGAGGAGGCCATAGTCTCAAGCTTCAACCAAACTGATCATCATGATGACAGAGAGGAAGAAGAAGGACCAGATCATCAGTCTGGTTTTAGCCTCACAAGCTTTCTCTGGCATGGTGGCTCCGTCTATGATGCCTGGTTCAGCTGTGCATCAAATCAGGTAAATTTAACAAAAACCCCAGTCACAATTCAAATATTAAAGTAATATTTTTGAGTTATCTCTCTGGTAATTGAACATTCTTCTGTTCTGATGGGTTTTGACGAAAAACAAAAAACAGGTTGCTCAGGTTCTGCTCACTCTGCCATACTCTTTCTCCCAACTGGGCATGCTTTCAGGCATCATATTCCAAATTTTTTATGGTATTTTGGGAAGCTGGACTGCTTATCTGATCAGTATTCTCTACGTTGAGTACCGAAGTCGAAAAGAGAAAGAAAATGTCAGCTTCAAGAACCATGTCATCCAGGTAAAGTAAACTAATTAGCTTCCAACATTTCTCACAATGCAAAACCATTTCCACTTGAGAAAGGAAAAAAAGTAACCTCTTTCTTTAAAAAATTTTGAGCAGTGGTTTGAAGTGTTAGATGGTTTACTGGGTCCATACTGGAAAGCCGTTGGATTGGCCTTCAACTGCACTTTCCTTCTCTTTGGATCTGTTATCCAACTCATAGGTTGTGCAAGGTCTGTCATTTAAATACAACTTCTCTTTTTATTTTATGACTAATTTTTATAGACAAAATTAAAACATGGGTTTTGTTCTGTTTAATACATAATTAATTACTGATTTGGGTTTTTTAATGGGTGATTATGCAGCAACATATACTATATAAATGACAATCTGGACAAGAGGACATGGACGTACATATTCGGAGCTTGCTGTGCCACCACTGTGTTCATACCCTCTTTCCACAACTACAGAATCTGGTCTTTTCTTGGGCTTGGCATGACCACCTACACTGCTTGGTATATGACCATTGCAGCCATAGTTCATGGCCAGGTAATTAGTTTCATCAACGGTCCTGATTGTTCTAGAGTCATATCTCTGTTCTTTATCCTCCGTTGATTTCGACTCTGTTTCTTCTTCATAAGATTTAAAACATGTTTTACAGGTTGAGGGTGTAACACACTCGGGACCAAAGAAACTGGTCTTGTATTTCACTGGCGCCACCAACATACTCTACACTTTCGGCGGCCACGCCGTCACTGTGTGAGTATTTAGTTTCATTATATTTTATTGTTTAATTTGAAATAATACAATCATGATGTTCCCTATTTTTTTTTTTTCTGTGTTTACTGCTTTTTTTTTTTTTTTTTTTTCAGAATGGTTTTCTTCTTTACACAGTGACCATATTCATTATGCAGCTTTTTCTTGCCATTAATGGGTTGGTGAGAGAAGAGAATATCATGACAGGAAAATGAAAATGACAGAATAAAACTCGAATAAGATGGTGATTGTGCACCTTGTGGTCTACATTAAAAAATATATTCTCATTTACGTTATAGATAATCTTGACTTTGTGTCACTGACAAATCTATTTAGTACACCTTATCATTGAATTAAGAAAAATAGTCTTTCTGCTATATATTCTTAATCATAAAGTCTAATTTCTTTATTATAAAGCTTTTAGGTAGATAAGGAAAAATAAAAATAAAAAAACAGAACACTCTGTTCTAAAAGCACTTTAGTGTAATTGTGGTGGGCAAGCTCTGTATCCAGATTAGATTTTTACTGCAGGATCATGTTATTGTTTGCAGGGAAATTATGCATGCAATGTGGAAGCCTCAGAAGTTTAAGTATGTCTATCTCTTTGCTACCCTCTATGTATTCACTCTCACCCTTCCATCTGCAACTGCTGTGTACTGGGCCTTTGGCGACCAACTCCTCACTCACTCAAACGCCTTCGCCCTCCTTCCCAGGAATAAATGGCGCGATGCTGGGGTCACCTTGATGCTCATTCACCAGGTGATGATCCTTCTCAAGACTCTAATTGTTTGTACATGTTGTTTCCTAGCCATTTTGCCACTTTGCTAATAGAACATGTAGAAAGTTGTTATTGCCTAAGCTTATAATGGTTTGCTGCTTTCAATTCATAGGCATAATTTTCAAGCATGGGATTGATTGAGAACATTTTGATTGTGCTGATGTAATTTTTTCTCATGTGGTGGCATGTTACAGTTTATCACATTTGGGTTTGCTTGTACGCCATTGTATTTTGTGTGGGAGAAAGTCATAGGAATGCATGACACCAAGAGCATATGCTTGAGGGCTCTTGCCAGGTTGCCTGTGGTGATACCAATTTGGTTCTTGGCCATCATATTCCCCTTCTTTGGTCCCATTAACTCAGCTGTTGGGGCTCTTTTGGTCAGCTTCACCGTCTACATCATCCCCGCCTTAGCCCATATGCTCACTTTCAGATCTGCTTCTGCTCGTCAGGTAATGCTCCAATCTAGCCTCATTAGAGAACAGGGCACTCTGAGTCTTGTTTCATGGAATATACAGTTTTAATTCTATAGTAATCCTTGGAAGTTGAAAGTGACTTCCAATGCAACAGGCTGGTTTTTTTCCCCCACAAGTTTTATTAATGGTTGGGATTTAAATGTTTGTGTGACCTAGATAAGGTTGGTGAAATTTCCTTTTCTTGCAGTATGTGGTACCTTTCATACTTATTCTGATCTTGTAATAAATTAGGCCAGACTCACCTATTTGATTAAGTTGGCCCTATGTACCCACATTATTGGTCATACTAACTAGCTCACAATGAGGCCTGTGGTCTGATCCAACACATTATGTATGCAGCTCATTTAATCATACAGCATTGCAGAAAATTACATTACTAAATTGCAATCGGGTAATTTTCGTGTGTGCAGAATGCGGCAGAGAAGCTTCCGTTCTTCCTCCCGAGCTGGACGGGGATGTATGTCGTCAACACATTAATAGTGGTGTGGGTGTTCATAGTTGGGTTCGGGTTCGGAGGGTGGGCTAGCATGACCAACTTCATCAAGCAAGTTGACACTTTTGGGTTGTTCGCCAAGTGCTACCAGTGCCCTCCCAAAGTCTCAGCCTCCCCACCAGTACATCACTAAGTTCTCTTTTGTATCATACTCAGGGAGGCATCAGCATCTCTCCCCCACAAATGGTTGTGCTGTATCAGCCTTGTCATTCTGTGTAGCCTCTATAAATATCAGTACATTATTGTGAATGGTGAATTGGAGTTGGATATGTTTTCTTTTGTGTTTCCTTGTTTGTTTTTATAAGTGTTTCTATCTAATCAACTATGCTAGTGCAATCAATTATCAAAGGCCATTGCTGATTTTAATATAAACATGGTGCCTACAAATTTTCAAAAGACTTACCTTTGATTATAAGAGAGAACCCAATCTGGGCATCTGATGATATGACTCACATGGCTACCACATTCACTTCTGTTTATCATCAAACACCTTTCCATGTGAGCCCACATGAACCCAAAACGTATTATGTTTTGTGATGATGAACAATCTGAAATTAATCTCCTTTCACTACCTCTTTTTTTTCTTTCTTTTTTTCCTCAAATCACATTAACCCAATTCACGCTTGTCGTTTTGCCGCCTAATTGTGTTGCGTATGATATAGGTTTGACTGGTCAAACTTCAATGATGTGGGCTACTTTGATGATGTGGAATGGGAGTGTGGGTTACTTTGGGTAATAACAAACTCAAACTCCATTTTGAAACCGAACCTCCTCTAATCTTGAGATGAAGCTGACCTCCAACTTGATGAGTTGTTCATAAGGTGCAGAAGATATTTTAGAAAGACTAAAGCTTCGATAAGGTTCGGTTTTGATGTGATTTTGTGATTGGAACCAGTTCCTAACTTGCCTATCTTTTATTTTTCAATCATCTTTTTCTTTCTTCCCACAGCTGTTTCGTTTCCACACACCATTGGGATTATAAAATCATCATTGCATTTTGTTGTTTGGCAATTAGTAATTAGCACATCGATATCTCTTGTTTATTATGATTATGAATTGGTGCAATTTGCAAAAGCATTTAATTGTAACATTAATACTTGCACTGCCGACTGTGCAGACTGCTGGAAAAAAGACATTTTTAGATGATAAAGAAAATGAGTCAGTGTCTTCACTTAATACCAGTTCAACAAGTTTTTTTTGAGTCAAAACTGAGTTATTATATTTGGCACTAATTGTTCATGCTTATTATTCCCATTAGCGGGTCATGTCTTGTCAAGTATTGGTCAGTCCTATCCCACAATTTAAGACATAACCAGAAGGTGAAAAATGACATGACTAATTTCATAGAGTGGTCAAACGAGCACCAAAAACACAAAATAACGTTTTCCTTTTTTATAAGCAGTAAAGACTAGAAAGTCACATATGACATATCGGTCGGAAATATTCTTATGCCATTTATTATAAAACATCGAGTGTGGTAAATTGTGAAATTGAAGCCAACTTAAAGAAGTAAAGAACCAAAGTGAAGAGTGTGTTAATAATGGGCGCTTTGCTTTTTCTTTCTTTTTAGGTGAAGATTTACTCTAGACATCTGTGAAGTTTTATGTAAATGCAATTATTATATCCTCATTGCGAAAAGGATAAAAGAAATGGATAGCCAAGCTTAAGCCCAAACATATAAGAAGTGGGGGCTAGCCCAGCATATGAACATAACACAACCGGAAGCCCCAATACAGTTGAGCTTGGATTTAGCTTTAGGATGCTAAAAATTTATTTCAAATGGGTTTCTAAAACAATTGATATGCAATGATCAGACTCTTGCCTGGATTGAAGTGTATTTTTTGGAGGAATTTTCAAGGTACTCAGTTCGCAGCTCACCTACCTCTCCAAGTTCCTTTGCCTGTTTCCATTTCGAGTAAAAGCAAATAGTAGCTGATTTGGGCCTTCAGACTCTGTTCGACTGAGCGTGACAATGGCTAGAGGACGACCCAGAAAGGTTTGGCCTTTGTTAATTTTCTCGCACTTTCTCACTAGTCAAGCGCACATTCGTCCTACTACCCCATCATCCCTTTTCTTTCCCAAGTTTATGTTTGTCTTTCCTAATTCCTTTTCGGATGGTTCAATCCGACCTGCATTTGTTTGGCCATGCTCACACATTTTCTTCTTTCCTTATGTTTTTTTTCCTTTTTTAGAAAAGTCAAGTTTTTGTTCAGCTGATTTCTCACACATTTTTTATTTTATTTTCTACTCCACTTCATATTTGCAGAGGGATTCCCGCATGGATGCAGCCATTGATGCTATGACCCGTGAAATGGGTTTTGACGAGAGACTAGTTCGTGCCACAGTAAAAGAGTTACTAAAGGTGGCTTTTATTTTTTTTTCTGTTTTCGTTGTTTGCTGAGAGTTTTGGGTTCTGGGTTTTGTTTGACGTATCAAAAGGTTTTGCTTTCAGGTTTATGGAGTGCGAGGATCTCCAGACCAAGGATGGCCCTTTATCGAAGAGTTTTCTTATAAACTCCTAATTGAGAAGCTTCTTGAAAAACAACAAGATGGTGCTGAAAATAGGGTAAGTTGATTGCTTGTTATTGTTGTGTGCTAAAGTTGCTTCGTCAGACCAAAAAAAAAAAAGTTGCTTCGTTTGTTGTACAATGCGCTGGGGGAAAATTGGGGCTTCCTGCTGCTTTGAGATTTATTCTTTCTACGCTCTTCGATTAGGCGTTCTTATTGGGTTTGTGGCTTCAGACAAAGACATAATCTTAATCACATTAAATTGGTTGCCTGGTGAATATAACAATTTTAAATCTCACATTCGAGCAAGACCTGTACCTGTTACTATTTCTGAGCTTCGTACTTTACTTCTTGCTGAAGAAAGTGATCTGAATAGAGCTGCATCTATCATGAACACACCACTCCTTGCTGCTATGATGGCTAAGACCAAGTTAACTCCTGTTCATCAAACCCAAGGTTCTCCATATTCTCAGGATCAGAGTTATCAGCATCCGACTCCAGATCACAGTTATTCTAATATAGTACTTCAGGTTATAATGGTTCGTCTTCTAATCGACAATGGAATTCCAGAGGTGGTTCTCAGGGAAACAGGTATTACAGAGGCAGGAATAACTTCAGAAACAGATATCATAAGAGTAGACATGGTAGCAGTTCATATGGTAATTCCACTTATGGTTCAGGCCAATTTTTCTATCAACCTGGTTACCTGGTGGTCATTATGGTAATTCAGGTGGTTCTGGTTTTCAACACCCTGGTTTTTTTTTGGCCCATCGGAGTGTACCTCAGAGTCAATATTATGTCCCCCCACATTCTGGCCCGGGAATTCTTGGTTCATCTACTATATGCCCTGCTGCATCACCATGGCAATCTCCTATTCAGTCCTTTCAATCTACTATAAGATTCATTTCACAGAAAAATCAAAAGCTCTGAGTTTTCTATCCTAGTTTTCGCTCTTTGTTTCTACTTGATGTTTCAGTGAGATTGCACTAGTTTTATGCCTTCGAACAGCATTCACCGGTGTTATTTTGGTTTTCACCTTGACTTGTGTTGCTCTTAATTGTATAAAATTAGTCATAATTCTGGTTTGAACTCTTTGAAGGATGCTGCTCCACAAGGCGATGCAGCTCCACCAGACGATGCTGTTCCACCAGACGACGCTGCTCCACCAGAGGACGCTGCTCCACTAGAGGACGCTGCTCCGTATGATGATGCTGCTCCGTATGATGATGCTGCTCCGCATGATGATGCATCAGCAGCAGTTGGGCCCTCAAGCATTGCTATTCTACCTACCTTCTCAGGGGCTGTGGACAGCAAATTGCAGACTCAGGATGCTTGTGACTCTACATCACAGTCTAATGGACTTATTCATGCATCACTGATTAAAACTACAGGTACATGATTTTCTAATTATTCCTAAATATTTATAGATGTTACAGTTTCAGCCATGGGCAGTTTTCATTCATACTCTTATCATTTCAGTTCCACTCCTTTATGAATGTGCACTTGTTTTGCAGGTGCTAAGGAGTGTCTCCCAGTAGATACTCTTGCACCGTGGGGGCGTAAACCTTGCTGTGGCTGGGCTTTGAGCAATGATGGGGAAGGTCCTGTGGAACATAAATTGGGTCCATTGCCAGAGTCAGGTAAATTACTTATCAGGCCAGCTGAGAAGTTATTCCTAAATATTTATAGATGTTACAGTTTCAGCCATGGGCAGTTTTCATTCATACTCTTATCATTTCACTTCCACTCCTTTATGAATGTGCACTTGTTTCGCAGGTGCTAAGCAGTGTCTCCCAGTAGATACTCATGCACCGCGGAGGCGTAAACCTTGCTATGGCTGGGCTTTTATCAATGATTGGGAAGGTCCTGTGGAACAACAATCGGGTCCACTGGCAGAGTCAGGTAAATTACTTATCAGGCCAGCTGAGAAGAGGAAGCGCAAGTCAAGGTGGGATGTGAGGCCTGAAGATATGCAAAGCTCTTTCACTTTGATGTCGTAGTTGTAATATGTATAAATAGGAGTCTAGTCTAGAAATCACATATTTTGGTGACAGTGATACTAGATTATTCAAATATGGTGTTGTGGCGATATTCGATGCTAACCAGTGCAACTCTAGAGAAGAGAATGCACATTTTGGAAAGCCATTGGAACCCAAATTACAATTACAAGAAGATAGTGAAAGATTGTGGGTGCTTTTGTCAATCAGTTTGTTGGTGCTTATGTAAATGATCTGATTGGTGCTTTTTATGTTCTATACTTTGTCGTTGCACTTATTTTCCATCTTAAAATTCAGCCTTTCGTTTCATTCTGATTTACAAGAAGATCAAGGAAAAGAAGAGAAAAACTCTTACGCTGCTTAAGAAGACAACTATTGAAACACTTCTGTGCTATGTTTCCTTCAAGTTTGATTAAAAACCCCACAATACTTTGACACTGTGTGTGAGCAAACCCCCTTTCCCAATATCGAGTATAAAAAAAATAAAATAAAAAAATCATATAATAAAGATAAAATTGATATGAAGGAAAGTATTTTCCTTTTCATTACCACATATTGAAACTTCATTTTTTGGCGAAATCAAATAATTTATTTAGGGACTTTATTATAGGCAAAAGGTCACTTTTGGTTCCTGTTGTTTGTCAGTTTTACCACTTTGGTCCATGTCGTTTCAATTTTGTCAATTTTGTCCCTGTAGTTTCAATTTGAAGCAATTCAAGGACAATCTCTTATTTCTGTCCAATTGGGCTCGTTTGGTACACAGGATTGGCTTGGACTGGC